TAGATGTCCCATCTGACCCAGCTATTCCCCTGCTGGGTATCTTCCCAAAAGAATTAAAAGAATCATACCACAGTGATATATGTGCACCCATGTTTATTGCAGCACAGTTTGTAATAGCTAAAGCTTGGAAACAGCCCAAGTGCCCATCAACTGCAAAGTGGATAAAAATGTGGTTTTTTATAAAATGGAGTACTACTCAGCCATAAAAAAGAAGAAATTAGAGACATTTATAGCTAAATGAATGCATACTGAGGTGATACTCTTGTGAAATAAATCAGACACACTTGTGTAAATACAGAATAGTGTCTCTGTTGTGGAAACTGAAAGTGTAAGGATTAAAATTAAAATGAATAATTGATAATTTGAAGTAGGAAGAAAAGGTGCAAAGGGGTAGGGGAAGTGGAAGGGGAAGTGGGAGGGGAAGGGGAAAGGAAAGAGGGGAAAGGAAAAATTATGAGAAAAGGAAAAAATGTTAACAAAGTCTTTGTAAATAGGGAAGGGTGGAGGGGGTGAAGAAAGCACAGGGAATGGGGAAAGCATAAGAACCAAGATACGTCATGTACAGGTACAAGCACCCAGTGATAAATGTAAATGTACTGTATACTTAAAATGTACCAGCAAAAAATTTTAGAAAAAAAATTAAATGAATGTGTGTATGTGAATCACTGCAGGGACTAACACAGGGCAGGAGCCCCAGAAAGCCCGGCTGTTCCTGCTTCCTACCCACCAGAACGTCCACACTTTCCTCACCTCTGTCAGTCCCTGCACAGTCTTGCAGAGCTGGCTTACCCTTTGGAACTGTCTGTACCCCGGAGACTTAATGCAAAGATCTACTCTAAGAGATTCCACTATTATCAGAAGGGGCAGTGAGATCTCAGAGCAGGAACTCTAGGTTCAGCGCCTCTGAAGAGTTAGCCCTTAAGAAAGCCAGTCTTTCTCCATGCAGCAAGCAAGAGGAGTCGCTCTTGTTACTGTGTGCACAGAGCTTGAAAGACGACAAAGAAGGAAAGATGGTGGCGTGTTCCTCATAGCTCCTGGAGTCTCCTTGCTGTGCTTACAACATGGCAGAAAACATGGTTACAATACCTACGATGAGTCCCCAAAGACTGAGGAGTAATTGATGAGTTTCATAAATCTTAACTGAAATACCAAATAGCTTTGGAATTAGAGTTGTAGCTTGGTAGAGTTGTCGCTTCAGTTAAGGCTTAAAATATCAGGAGTCCGCAGTCTAATTCCGTATTATAATTGTTGGAAAACTCTTCTGCCAACATTAGAGAAAAGACAATGAGGCCACTAAAACTGGAAGATGAACCACTTAAGATAAAAATTCTGTCTGGAGGGAAGGAATACTGAAAGGGTAAGAAAATTAGACTACCTTGAATGTATCTTCTTTTATACAATTTATTGTGAAACTACATATAATTTTATGTAAGACAAAATGACACCAACATTTTAACAACATTCCAAGAAAATAAAAAGAAAATAAATGATGATATTTGTCAAGATTGTACCTGACTCACAAATAAAGTACCATTTCAAGTCATCTCAACACAATTACCCTGTAACACGAATGGGCTATGTACTGTGGACAAATCTAATACAAAGAAATGTTAAATTTCTCAGTAACTATAGTATTAGTGATATTATTATTATTATTAAAACTATAATAGATTCATAGGTAAAATCAATAATTGTGTTAATGTCTTTAGAAACCAATAATAATTTTGAGCAAGAAAAAACAAATGATATAGATTTTTTAATTTAAAAGATACAATTACAGATTTAAATTATACATCTCAGTATGATTTATGCCTTTTCTCTTTAAAACAGTATTTCATGGTTCTGTTACTGAAAAGTATAGAAAAAAAAATCCCACTCTGAAACAGTGAGCATCCCTAACATTCAAACTGTGATCTCCAAGTACCATTTCCAATTATAAGTAGCCAGTTTTCCTTGACTCCACTCCGGGTGGAAAATGATCCGCCTCTTGTAACACACAGAGAGACAGCTTCCTGGACTGCCAGGGTTATGACAGAAAGCACGGGAAGCCACCCAAAATGATTCCCACCATCCACAGGAAAACAGTTTAAGCATCAAAAAAAGTAGTAAGTAATTGCAACACATCCAATTGCTCAGATCCATTAGCTCACAGTGATTCAAATTCAAATAGAGCAGAAACAAAAAAATGAGGGGAAAAAGTTGATCATTTTTCCCAGAATAAAATGTTATAAAACTAGGAAATATAAGGCACACACAAGCATCTCTTCCACTTTATCATTGTCCACTTCCTCTCTGTTTCAAGGGGGAAGAAAGGTTCTTTGTAGAGGAAACGTGGACAACGGAAGAATTTCCCAATTTTGCAGTCTCTAGTGATACAAAGTAACAGTTATCAGTGCTGTGGAAACTATTGAGTAGACAGCTGATTGGTGGGGAATGGGCCACTGGACGCTGACGGCTCAAGGGTCATACTGCTAAGACAGCAGGGGGGCCCTAGTGGCCCCAGTGGGGTGGGGGCCCAGTCTCTCCCACCCGCCACCCTGATCCCCCAAACGCACAGTGCTGTTCCGCAGAAATACACTGTAAGCCAGACAGGAACCTTAAATTTTCTAGTAACAACATTACAAAGGCAAACAGAAGTGAAATCAATTGTGAGTGTATTTTATTTAACCTAATATATCCAAATATAATTTTGTGACGTTATCAGTGTAAAAACATTGATGTGATATTTTACTTTTTACACCACGTCTTTGAAATCTTGTGTATAGTTTACACTTACAGTATATCTCACTTTGGTTGCCAAATTTTCATTGGAAAAACTTACTCTATATTTAGATATTGTGAAATACACAGTTTAAAAAGTAGATTTGCATATCATAACTGTTCTAATCAGACTTGCAAGTCTTCCAGTAACTAGAGTATCTCTTTGTAAATTTACATTAATTTAAATGAAGTAAACTTGAAAATTCATGTCCTTGGTCACAGATGGCTCACTTCAGGAGTTGGTCGGTCGGAGGTACTGATGGCAAACGAAGCACGGCTCAGTGGGGGTCTTTACGGTCACCAGGGACACGCCGGGCCCCAGCACGGGGCAGAAGACCTCATGGAGTCATCAGCACCCAAAGTCTTCTGTGGAATGAGAAGCCTCATTCACTGCAATTTTAAAAAGGAAAAGGAGAGTGAGAACATGTAGATTAAAGAGACTGAAGAGGAAGATTTGTCTGCAAAATGTAGTGTTTGGAATGTGTTGAGCTTGGATTGAAACTTCAGGCACATACATATCTATCTATGAATATGCACACAGATTTATCCGCATGTCACAGATTTGTAATGTGACAGTTTTTTATTGTAGCAGTGGGGACTGAACCCAAGACAGAAGCTGGGGTTTTTTTGGTTTTTTAGACAAGGTCTCAGGAAGACTCTAAATTGCTTAAGCTGGGTTTAAATTTATGATCTTTCCACTCATCCTCTCAAAGTGTTGGGATTACGGGCCAGCATCCCCACACCCAGCGCAATGAGACTGCTTAACCTGCTTCATATATTTAATAAAGTTCTCTCTGCTAACGACCTGGGGTGTGATAATGGGATATAATATTTTTAAAGAGACTATGTTATAGAGACACAGACTGAATTATTTATAAACAGAACTATATCAAGTCTGAGATTTCCTTCAAAATAATTCTGGGGAGAAAAACAGGTTTCGCAGGGCTTCGGATGAAACAAATTGGCAGCATATTAGATAACAGGGAATTTTGCTGATTTACTGAAGCATGATAAAGTGGGTGATTACATTTCCTAAAATGCTATCTATGCTTAACACGACATACTAGTAAATCTTTATTTTGCTTTAAAACTTCAGAAAGAAACTGTTGGGTGAGTTGGAAGCAGGAGGGGACACACTTGGGACATTTGTTAGCGGGCGCTAGAGACACAGTTCCTGCCTCCCCCTGGGCCTGGCGGGGCTGTCACCGGCTGCAAGACCACCATGCACAGAGCTCTGGGAAGAGAATGTGCTCAGTCCTCAGCCCTCGAAGGTCGACAACTCTGGGGCCAGCTCAGAAGCCAAAGGAGGCCACATGTGTGCCTTTCACCAAACAGCTCTGACCATGAGTGAGACTCAGTGCTTTGTGTTCTCTGGTTTTGCTGCTTTGTTTTCCAAAAGCCTGAACTGCCCTTTCTCAGCCCCTAGCCTGTGTCTTTGCTGAGCTCAACAAATGAAACCAGAGGTTGGCACTTACCATATTCCAAAGAAACTAAGAAAAATGGTTTGAAAAGTTTACACTCAAGACTTTTAAGTCCCCAGTAAAAGGTAGCGCCTTGATTTGTTTATCGTTAATACATGTGAGCATCATTAGATTGGAGTGGCTTCATGCTGATTACGGCTGGAGTCGTTTCAGATATCTTGACCTGAACTATAACTTTATCTGCCATCAGTCTGAATTACTTCCACTTGTGTCAGCATTATTTGAAGAGGATCAATGGAGGTCTATGAAGAAAAAAGCCTTGTCATCTCCTCCCAAATGGACTAAATTAATTAAGTTACCGGAGCCAAATCTATGACACTTTTTATATATTGTTCTTTTTGTGGGTTGGCTGCTGACACTGATTATAACAAAAAGATGTTCCTTTTCGGCCAAGCACAACAGATGCTTTGGCAAAACAGTATTCGTAATTTAACCTTCTCAGTGGCCAGACTTGGATACTAAGAGCATATTTCTTGTAAAAATGTGAGCAACTCCTGGTATGTGGCAGGAACATAAAATTTAAACTAGACAGTTGTTACATAAATGTGCTACGTGAGGGCTTTATACCTTAGGTCTGAAAAGTTGGTATACAGACAAATTAAAGATTACAACTACCAATGTACAGTAAAAATCTCCACAGGCACGAGAGTCTCTTAATTCCCTCCTGGGAAAACGTCTTCCTTCTCTCATTAGGAAGTCTGCCTCATTGCTCTTCCTGTCTGGCTTGGGCTGGTCCCAGAAGCAGGGATGAGGACATGACTCGCTGGAGAAGAGACAGGCCTCTCTCCCCATATCAGCCCTGGCACTGTGGCCCTCAGCAAAGAAACCAAGCGAGGCGTACATCACTTATCTGACTCTCTCTGTCTGAAAGTGCTATTTCAGCCAGCGTCCTTTAAGACCGTAAAGCTGCAGGGCACGAAACTCACAGTGGCGAGGGCTCAGGTGTTCTGTAGCTCACCTGCAGTTACAGGCCGCCCTTTCATCCCGGGATTCAGGCGTCCCTCCCAGGATTGGCAGTCTCAAAGGCACACAGGGCAGGAAGCCCCTCATTGACTGCACAGATAGAGCCCATGACGCGGCCACCTCAGACAGTGCCTCAGCCCCTCCCCTCAAGATACGCTCTGAGGCTTCATAAGGGTTAGGGCTAAGCTGCGGGACTGAACCAAAAGGAGGCGCAGTGGCTGAGAGCAGAATCCGTTCTGTAGTATTATACGCCCAGCCGCCCCCATGCCAGACAGTTTGGGCGCACCGTGGTAAGCTAGTGAAGGACAACATTTCATGCATAGAAATGGACCCTGTTTCCAAAGGACCCTGCAAGTTGCACCATTTTGGACGCAATTCACAATTTACTGCAAATCAGGCCCCATTACCTCATAATGGGGGGACTGTGGTGAAGGACCTTAATCTTGCAAAAACAATCTTTCCAGTTTGTTTTTACCATTTTCTAATGGTGAAAACTGCCCAAAGATAACCCCAGGGGACTTAAACCCATCACTGAGTCTTTGTGTCCTATTCCTTCCCCAGGGCTCAGCTGAGCAGGCTCCACCCAAGCAGGGCCAGGGGGAAAGATGAGAAGTTTCTCAGATTTCTGAAAAATAAAATCCTCTTTTCAAAGTATGGGACATCCTCTCCTCTAAGAGAGGCACAATCAAGCACTGAGATGGGGATGACCCTGCAGAGGCCATGGGGTCAGGCATGAGGCTGCTGCAGCCCAGCTGAAGTACAGGCAGCAGGGACACAAATGAGGGTGCGATGCCATCTCTCACGAGGGCCCTGGGGATCCACTCCCGACTGCTCCATGGTGTGGGTACCTCGAGTTGCGATACACAAACCAAACAACAGCCAAACCCAGACTCCCAGTGGAGACCTGAGCAAAACGCCTGGGCGTCCTCTTAATCCACAGCATCTCCTCTTCTGATCACTGCAGGGCCGTCTGCAGACCCCACTGGCCTAACTCCTGGGAAGCTGCCTTCCTCCGGTACTTGTGTTATCCTGAGTTCGCCTTACTCGTCCAGAACCTGTGATCCTGTCGATTGAGAATGGAAAATGGACGACAATACCCAGTTCCATCTGCACTTAACCATTTAAATAAACAGGGCTCGATAATACTCCCTGCCTGCGAGATCGTCTTCTATGAGGTTGTGAGACACAAGAAAGGAGTTGAATCTGTGGGCAAACTCTCTGTGGGATGACAGCAAGCCTGGCTTGGGATGGCACGGCCGTTCTGTTAACTTCTGGGCCTAACCTCCTCGGCTGGGTAGGAGCCTTCTGTGTACTGTTTGTGTGGATCACACATGCACGCCTATTTAGGCTACACAGAGATTTGCAACATGGTACATCGTATGTACTTTCCCAGTCTGCAAAATTCCCTGAATCAAGTGGAAGCTCTCCACACTTCAGAGTCTGAAATAAAAATAACCTTCTATGCAGGGAAAGAGATGAATTCTCCCAGTTTAGAAAAACCACATTCATGCACAGTAGGTCTCAGGGATCGAAGAGATGAAAGATATTCTAAAAGAGAAGGTTCCTGGAAACTGTGCTTACAATGACACATGAAACTGAAATAATATTATTCTCTATGTCCTCATGGTTACAATGGCAAGATTCTACTTGACATCATGAGTAAAATACAAGTACATCTCACTGCTGTGGCATGAGCTATTACTGATCTTCAGAATTAGAAAGTCTGTCCAGAAATAAATTTGAACATACTATGAATGCTGCGTGCATCGCTTCTTCCTGGAGCTGCCATTTTGCTGCTATTGTTCTGTCTAGGAACAGTGTGAGCATGTTTTACAATTTCTACAGCATCCTTATAGCCAGAGTTCCCTGATATGGCTATAAAAAACTAAAAGGCAAGGGCTGGCTCCTTTGTCTAGCCATGAATGTGAAGTAGTACTGCTCCACGTGTGCAAAGTGCCAAAGGAGTGAATTTGGAAACTAAGAAATCATGGAAGTCCCCAACAGTTTATATCCATGACTACACAAGCTTACTTTTCCATGTAATGACTCTTCCCTGAGATAGAGTATCTTTTTCTATGACCTGTATTGACTAATTGAGCCTTAAATCTCCCTAAAGCCCTCAGCTCGTTGCTAAAGCCATTTGGCTTCTCTTTCTTATCCACTGATAATAATAATTAACATTCCAGTGGTTTCATAGAGTTTGTAAGGCATTCACACACTATAGTTTTATTCAAACTTCACAGAGGACTTTAGGATAAGAGACCATGATATTCTAATTTTCCAGATGAGAAAAGGTGTGATTCTGAAAAGTTGAGGGGCTGCTTTGTTAATGATGAGGTATTGCGTTCTTGAAAATTTCTAATAAATTAGAATGTTAATGTTCTCATCACCCCCCAAAATGGGAAGTACGTGAAGAAAGGTATGATATTAGGTTGGCTTAGCTATTCTACTATAAATATATATATGTATATGAGCAACATATACTATATATGTATCTATGAGGTCATGTTGCACACCATAAATATAGTTTTTATTCAACAAGAAAACATAAATAGAAAGAAAATGAAAAAATAAAAGAAATAGCTCCTTCTGGATCCATGTCTGCCCCACAAGCTCATCTTTTTTCTGATTAACTTTGCTCACTTTACCATTTATTTCACCCAACTTTGCACCAAATCCATAACCTCCACCCACCCCCTTAATTCTAGCCCTGACCTTCTCCCTGTGGCCATCCTCCAATGGGGCTAGCAGGCAGACCCCAGCCATCAGCTCTCCGGCCACGGGAGGCAGGGATTTGCACAAACTGCAACCACATGTGGCAGGGAGGATTTTCGATGGACTTCTGGTCACTTTGTGCCGCATGTCTGAGCTTACTTTCCCAATAAAAAGACTCTTTCATAGCTGAGTGGAGAAAATCCCATCTTAATGAATGGGGAGCAGTACTGATTTGGTTTTGTCAAACTTAAGAGGCTTAAATTCCACAAACAAAGCTGCTGCAAGTCACAAAAGACATGGAAAGCAAATTTAAATCCATGAGCATACAAGAATAACTTTTTTTCTTTTTTATTGAAGATTTCAAGTAACTAAACTTTAAACATACTGTGCATGAGTTACTCATGCTCATAAAGAGGGGAAAAACCCAGTGTCCTAAACTTAGTGAACTCTGTATTTGTCAGCATCTGCCTGGCTGACTTTGACCTCAGTGGGTTCATCCAGGTATCACAGGCTCCTGTCTCACCTTCATTAAGGGTAAACACTTCTGAGTGCAAGTGCAGATACACCGTGAGGTTTGCTTCTTCACAGATGGTTCCAACCAGAACAGAAAGGGAAATAACCAAAATGGAAACATCTGGTCAACCAACCAACAGCCTGTACTCCTGACCTCCCTTATGTCAGTGATTCATATTACAGCAG